CCCCCGGGTCAGCTGGGCCTTACACCGCTCCTTCAAACAACACAGGTTGGCGTATGAGCAGTTGCATTTCAGAATGTGTCGTCTTTAAAGATGTGACGGGTACGACAGTTAAGTGTGGATAGGTCTGTAAACCTGTGTTCTGTTCAAGGTCTGCTCAGTTCGGGCGTTCCCTCTCTGTCACAGAGGAGACAGCGGAGCGGATTGATCCTCAGCACTGTTGAGCAGGCATGGTGTCAACTTGTCTACTGTGGTTTTCTTGCTTCCAAACAAAGCAGGAAAAAAAACGACGGGGAACAAGATGTCACCATTACTGCCAGCTGGCTGGAGGTGAAATTGGTTGTTATATTTGCATGCCCTGTTCTGTTGTTCTTCTGCTATAAAAGAACGGATTTCAAAATCATCAAAAAAATTGGATTGTTCCAAATATTTTATTGATCACAGTACAATTCACATTATTGTAAAAGGAAAGACAATTAGAACATTTCTGTTCTTTAAGGCATTGTTAATATCAAAGTTTTAAAGTAATCATGTACCAATGCTCGCCTGTGAGGATCTGTAAATGCAACTTGTCTCTCAGCAGCATAGTTAATCTATTATTCTACTGTCCATATGCGATCAGGGCATCCCAAGGCATTGGCAACTCAAGAGCAGAATCGTCAGGTGGCTGAGGATCTCCATTTTTTCTTAAAATGTTATGTAGTACAGCACAAGCCACAATAATTGGCATGGCTTCATCTACCGTAACTGTTAAGCCCAGAGCAAGCACAGGAAACCTTCGCTTCCAAACACCAATTGTGCGTTCCACTGGATTCCTTGTCTGAATTTGTGATTGATTGTACAGTTCTTCCTCAAGTGTTTTAGGGTGAGAAATAGGCCTCTTGAGATATCTTCTACTTTTATACACACCATCACCTACAAGTAAACTGTCACCATACAACCCAGCCTCAAAGTTTGCTCTCTGCCTACTGTTATTAAAAATTGTCACATCATGTACACTGCCAGGCCAACGAGCAACTAAGTCCATAAACTCAAGGTTGCTATTACATATTGCCTGACACTTCAATGAAAAGTAACCCTTTCGACATCTGTAGTACATAGCACCCTCACCCCCAGGTGAGGGGATTTTTATGTGAGTGCAATCAATCGCACCAATTACTTGAGGAAATCCTGCAATAGCGTGAAAGGCATCAACAGACTCCTGCTTTTCTCGTTCATTTCTTGGGAAATAAATAAACTGCTGATAAAGTTCTGCTATTGCACATGATACTCGATGAATGATATGGTGTGATGTTGACTCACTCACTCCACTGAAGTCACCAGCAGATATTTGAGTGCAACCCGTGCCATAATATCTCAGGGATAGTAGCAGCTGATTTACAGGAGATAATGAAAAATTCCTGTAATTTGAAAGTACACAACTGACTCATTACGGTCTGTAATAAATAATAATTAGCTAGAATAAGAAATCTCGACTCACTCGTCACTCCCAAACTCTAGTTTGTGTTTAATAAGTTCGAACACAATCAAAGCACATCTTCTCGACATTCTGAACCTTCTGACAAAATCAACCTCGTCTAGGTCTTCAAGGTGATTCTCTCGGTCGCGAATAAATCTAGGTCTTATTTTGTGTCCCCCACATTCTTCATCATCACTGTCACTTTCCAGACACAAGTCAACAGCAAATTGTAAAATAGGATCCATATTCTCCTGTGATAATTCAGAGTTTTTGGACGAACTGTTAACGAGATAATAGGCAAAATATGTGGCAGTTAAATTGTTAAATTAAACAGCCCGTTTACAACTTTAACGGGTTGTTTGTACGTGGTGAAATGTAAATAGAGGTTAACGGCCAGTTAACTTTCCCGCGCTTCGCTAACTGGCGCTTATGGGCTTATGTAATAAAGACTGTCGTGCGAATAATCGGCTGCAGCTGGTACATTTGTAAACACTCGTATCGAGGTTATGTTCTCTGCTCCCTATTTCTTAGCACTTTGTGACAAACTCTTGTTTTGCTGACCATGGACCACCTGAAGCTTGTTCACAACGAGATTAACGTTGGTGACATAATGAAGCTCGTGTCATCTCCTTCTTGTGGAGCAACTTCGTTATTTGTTGGCACTACACGCGATAATTTTGAAGGAAAGGTAGTGAAACGATTAGTGTATGAAGCTTATGAAGGAATGGTTCAAAAGTCTCTAAAAACGCTTTGTGATGACATTCGTTCAAAGTGGAATGTTCATGGAATTGCCATTTATCACAGACTTGGGGAGGTAGCTGTTGAGGAGGCAAGTATTGTCATAGCTGTATCATCTGAACATCGTGCAGAGTCTCTACAAGCCGTTCAATATGCTATTGATAAGTTAAAAGCTGACGTGCCAATATGGAAGAAAGAAGAGTATGATGGTGATGCAACATCTCAGTGGAAAGAAAATAAGGAGTCTTCATGGATCAAGACCGAACCAGAAGAAAATGTTACTCCTGAGAATCCGGTGAGCTTTATAGTGGAGAATGTTCCGCCTGAATTGATTCAAGTCAAGGCAGATGATGCAGAGATTAAAAGAAGGATGGAAGCTTTTATGGAATTTAAAAGAAATCAGGTAAATTTAAGTAATATTCGGGATTTTTGTAGCAACTCTAGTTCAGATTCCAGCTGTGCACGGGTGGATGCTGCAGTTATTCGTCAGAAAGATTCAAAAGGACACTTACGAGTCCGTCGAGTTTTAAATAAAACTGGTCCTCAGACCCAGGGTATTGAACAATGGCCCAGCACCTCTGGTGCATCGTCAGTAGTTCCCTCTTTTACACCAGATAATAAAAAAGGATTAGCTTTGGATAACTCTGCACATTCATCCACATGTCCTCCCGCTGTGGAAGAGAGATTACGAAATGCTGAGCTGCATTTAGGCATAAATGATGCTTTAAATTATCGACCTGTACCTAAAGATGTGTATGCAAGGCTTAAACAATTGGAAGATAGAATTCTATTCTTGGAGGGTGTCTCGCCAGAGTACTCCCTGGTATTAACCGATGTTCCTAAACTGGAGCCAGTTGAGAAAAAACCTAGAATTTTCAAGAAGAAAATGTACTCTGTTGATGATTTAGATAAAAAAATGAGAGAGTTAGAAAAATCTATTAAAAATAATTCAGAGGACAAATTTGTCGAGTAAATTATGAGATGTGGAATCTTTTCAACTACCTGAAGGTGTTCAATTCTATTATTTTTTCTTTTCTGTCCCAGGAATCACTGAAGTGACATCCTTATCTTCCTTTGGACTCTGTAACTTCAAGCCCAGTCAAGTAGTAAAGGTTCTTTCACTTATTCGGCCTTTACTATCACGATGTATAAATAAGTTGGATAGAATAGTCCGTCATGCAGTGTAATAAGTGATTTGTAATATATGTGATATGTTATTATTCCTTTAATAATAGGCAATGAATTACCCATGTTACTTTCCATGAGCTACTTGTTTTGATTTTGTAAGTGTAAAATTTGATTTTGTTTACCAAAATTTATCAAGTTGTTAAAAATATAAAAATTTACTTTATTTTTATTTTTTAGAATTTTTCAATTGACATTCAATCCTAATTTCATATGTACAACACCCTGGTCTGATCCAGAACCTTTATCTCTAAACATCAATAAACTTAATTTAACTTTCTTAAATGATTTAAATAGTTATCTCGATTCTTTTACATCAGTATGCATACAGTAGTTCTATTAAAAATTACAATGACACTGAAACAACCTGCTAAATTTCATCTGAAAAGGCTGACATTCTGCATAAAATTTCATGATCACAGTTAGTTCCACAATGCTTATTTCCAGCTGCTGATGCTCTGTTTTGCTGAATGTTTTCGGCTTCATCTAAAATTAATATGAAATGTGATGATTGACTAATAGAAAATGTAATCACAGAGATGTCTTTTCTATGGTAGGGTTTGGTTGCACATCAGCATTGGTCTTTTTCTTTTTTATGTACAATGACTCTATGTCTTGTAAGGTTCTACCCTCCGTCTCTGGGAGGTAGAACCACATAAATAGGAATCCTGCGACAGCCACCATGCCGTTTACTATGAACACACCACTAAGATTTACCAAATGCTGGATGTCAAGGAAAGTTTTTGCTGCAAAAAAGCCAAGGATGTAGGAGACTGCTGCAGCAATGCCAGTAGCCGGACCTCGTCCCCTGAAACAAAACAAAAACAGAGAAAAATGAATCATTGTACTCCAATCAAGTGAGTATAAACTTTCGGCAGTAACACACTAGTTGTTGGACTCACTGGTAGGGAAAGACCTCGGACAACAGCATCCAGGGCACGGGGCCGATACCGAAGGAGTGGAAGGAGAACAGCACGATGAAGAGGACGAGGGGGAGCCAGTGGGACTCGAGCTCGGCGCCGACCTCGGCACCCGTCGAGCTGGACATGAAGAGGTGGTAGCTGCCCAGCGCGAGGCACGACACGGCCACGCCCGCGATGGAGGTGAGCGCGAGCGGCCGCTTGCCGCACCACGCCACCGTGAACATGCAGAGCACGTTGCCGCCCATGCC